AATTAAGCGTACGAGCTGAGCTAACAGTCAACATGAAGATGAGGTGAAAGCCACAGTTTGACTTGGGCGAGACCAGACGCACAGAGCACATTTGCTTGTTATGTCAGCGACACATCAAAACGCACACATCAAAACGCACACACACACGCACGCACGCATACAGACACGCAGGCACTCATACGCTCAATCATGGCGGCGCTGAAAAAGCGTTGCCTGCTTTTAGGCGCCCGCTGAAAGCCGCTCACATCTATTAAGCTAGAGCCTAACCGCGGCAACCTTGCTCGCTCCCACTCGCTCTCCTCTCCCCCTCTCTCTCACACTCGCTGTCACTCGCTCTCACTCCGTGAACTGTACAATCAATGTACATTTGCCTAATCTGAGTTTTTCACTTTGCCAAATTGCGACGCCGCTGCTGCTGCTGCTGCGTTTTGGCTTTTGTCTGCCTTTTGGCGCGTTGCGAGGTTATTATTCAATTTGCTCACATAAGCGGATTAGGCTCGCACACACATACCCTGCAAAAACAAACGCACTCTCCTGCCCTCCACTCGCTTCTCAAAACAAGCAATAAATCAGCTTACATTTACACTTTGCCCTTCACAAATTCCACAATGCAAAAAGTTGTTGGCCAAAAAATTGAAATTGATCAAAAAATAAAAGAAGAAATTGTGGAATTTTCTTTCTTGATTGTGCCTTTGAAATCGATATGAAAATCCGCTTAGCTTTATTTGGTATTTGTTGTTTATCAGCTTCGAGCATTTTGCATTGTCAACAGAAAACCCAAACAGCAAGTCTTTACTTGGCTTTTATCAGACCCCAACCCCAACCCCTACTCAACCCCTAAACCCAATTACCAATTTGCTTTGCTGGAGCAAGGCAATCGGAGCTTGTGGCTGATAATAGAGCAAATATTAATGAAGCTGTAACGCAATAACACATCAAACGAGTCTGCTTAAGCAGTTCCTCATTGTACGATAAATAGATGGAGAATTACCTTAGTGATAAACCCTATTGAAGGAAGGAGTTTGCTCTAAGAGGTAAAGATAAAGCGTCTCGTGAATATGAATATGAATATGAATATGAATATGAATATGAATATGAATATGAATA